TTCCTCCTCTAGATAAAAAATGGACGAGGACATTTTTATCCACGACCTCCGACACTAAACTCTCCTCCTCTTGCATGTTTCCTCTGTCCATAGCGTTCCTTGACAGCGTCGTTTCTAAGTCACCAATTTAGTGCTACTTGGTCCCAATGGAATTTCCCATTGGGAACCTGCTAGCACTAAGTTGCTAACTGGTTAGCGAGATGCTTCCGACAAACTGACCAAAATAAAACCTGCTTTTGAACCTTCCGCCACAACAATCCCGCCCCCTTGATAATCGACCAATCATATTCACTTTATTCACTCGTGTAAAGTCGGGGACCACTATTCGGAAATGCAACCGTTGGAACAGTCGCTTCTCTACGACTTTAATAAAAGTGTTTATTGCGACAATAATGGAACAGACTTCATTCTATATAAAAACCAAACCAAAACAAAGGAAACCCAAAGTTTATGAACCATCAGGATGATCGGCTGCTGCTGCAGCTCAGTAGAAGACATCTTCAGACGAGCTGCTCCACATCCATCAGTGATGGTTGACTGTCTTTTGGCTCAGAAACCAGCGTGACCAGTGTGCTTGTCACCTTTCCACCACTGGTCCGGGTTCCCCTGAGGAATTCCATCCCATATAAGGATCCAGAATGTTAAATGCATTATAGATGTGAAAACCAAGGAAGGGTTAGGGTTAAACAGAGAACTTAGCATAATGCTAACAAAAAAAAGGTTTCACCATCAAGTCCAAGGAAGGCGATTAGTCCTGGTTCTGTACTGGTCCGATTTCAGCCAGAGAGGCGTTGTCAAGAGGGACTGATCAGCCAATCAGATGGCGAATTAAGTGCTGCCATGGCAACAAATTAATCCACCTGTAGGTTTTTATATGAACCTCGTTGAGCCTTTGGGGCCCGGCGGCGGACCTGAGACGGTTAACGGGTCAGGAAACCGTTACACCAAATAAAGTCGCTTTAATTTGTCTCTTAGGGGTGAAAGGTCCAAAGAAAATCTTTCCAGACATGCCGTTTGGAAACATGGACAGTGACAAGATCGAGGCCAGGAAGGGGCTCCTGGAAACCTTCCTAAAGGTCAGCGGCTTTTTAAACATGTTTTTCTTTTTTATAAATCTGGTGAATGACAGCCTGATAAATGCTGTTTGTTCTGATCTCTGCAGCAACTGTGTGCCATCTCCGAAATAGCCAACAGTGAAGAGATGCAGGAGTTTCTTGCTCTCAACACGGACGCCAGGATTGCCTTTGTGAAGAAACCCTTCATCGTGTCCCGCATAGACAAGGTTCAAGCATTTTGTCAGGATTCGGTTGTGAGAATAGATTTTAGGGCGGTGCTGTCTACACATTCTTAGCTCTCCTTCCTGTAAAAAAAGAACGAGACCATTAACATGTAAACTATGGCTTCCATACAAGTGGAAGCAAGTCCTGGTAATAGATCATATTTTGGAGAACTGGGATAGTTCCATTGAAAAGTCAACTCAATTTATCATCAGGCTACTATTTAGTTTATTTCTATAGCGCCATTTCACAACACATGTCAGCAGGCATCCAGTCATATTGATTCA